GCTGGCATATCAGGGCCTGGCATGAATGAGAAGAGCTACAGAAGCAGCAGGAGTGTATTCTTTCCAGCACAGGGTCTCAGCCTAAAGCGAGGCAACCTGCAGGCTCGGCTCAAGGAGTGCTGGGCAGAGCTTTGTGGCTGATGCTACTGTTCCATGACTAGAAGGGGTTTGGGTGGTGGCCCAGAGCCAGGCACTGTGGCTAGGCTGGTCTAGAGTCCACAGTGGGGACAAGCAGGACAGCTGCAGTGGGTGGGTGACCCTCACAAACTGCTTCTCTAAGACATCCATCTGCCAGCGGGGAGGGCCAGGCCCACCGAGCTGTTTCGCTAGTGGTGAGGGCGTGTCTAACACAGTCACCTACATTACCTTCCGAAGCCAGCTTTGAGTGGGTTTTGGCTGTTTCCACACATCAAATCCCTGTCAAGGGAAGGACTTGTAGCCTACTGGAGGAATCCACAAAAATGGGCAGCAGACTTGGAAGGTGGCTTCCAGGAAGTGAGTCCAAAGGAGTTTGCAGTGACTCTGAAGGGGGCAGGATTTGGCTGGTTGTTGTCAGTCCTGAGATATCGGTAAATTCTTAGGAATAAGGCGGGTGGAGGGGCGCCTGGGTGGCTTAGTCGGTTAAGTTCAGTTCAGATCATGATCTCTCGGCTTTGTGGGTTCGAGCCCTGCATTGGGCTGACAGCTCAGAGCCTGGAGCCTGCCTCGGATTCTGTGTCTCCTCTCTTTCTCCCCCTCCCCCGCTCACGCTCTGTCTCTCTGTCTCTCTGTCTCTCTCTCTCTCTCTCTGTCTCTCTCAAAAATAATAAACATTAAAAAAATTTTTTTTAAAGGAATGAGGCTGGTGGGATTCCCCTTCATGGGCGATGGGGAAATGAGAAGGCAGCTGCACCCTGGGCCCCACTCCAAGTGCCAGAGAACCAGAGTGGAGAGACACATGGGCTTCCGCTGAGGGAGGCTCAGTGTCTGCTTATCAGAGCCGAGTGCCGGCTCGGCGTGGCCCCAGAGCGTGGGGTTCCTAAGTTCCTTCATGTGACCTTGGCCTGCTCTCCTCCTTCTTAGGCTGTAGCATTTCTGGTGGTGACCAGGGAGTGGACTCATTCACCTCTGCCAGCTCACGACTCCAGGTACGGTGAGGGGAGAAACAGTACCTGCTGCAACTCAAGGAGCAATTTTAGGTATTTTGAGTGAATACCCACTCAGTCAGTCATCACTCAGGGAGTGCGGACTGTAAGCACCAGGCTCTGGGCTGATCATGTCACAGACAGGATCTCCTTACCACAAGCCTTTATATAAGGCAGGACTATCACTGTACCCATTATGCAGATGAGGAAACCCATGTTACGGAGATTAAGTCATTTGCCCACGGAGAGCAGCAAAGAAGGGGAGACTTGTGTCTTTCCGATCCTGATGTGAACACTGCTGCAGGCAGGAGCGCAACACGCTGTGTCATTCTCAGGCCCATTCATGTGGCCTTGGGAAAGGAACTATTGTAGAATCATGGCGCCGACATAGAGGTAAGCCCCCTGCGTTCTACAGCACTTAGAAAGGTACCCCCACTACTGCCACCATCCGGTCACAGACTGGCCTTCAAAGGACCGTGTCACCCCCAGAGCTGGGCCCTTCCACCCAGAGATTTGTCAGTGGGTTGTCTGCCCTCTTGATAACACTCTTTGGGAACTGTCATCCCACACGTCTTTCTGTGAAGAATGACAGGCCTCACTGGCCCCCTGATTGAGAAGACCATGGACAGAAGCCAGCCTTTCACTGAAGGATTCTTACTGGCCAGGAATATTTTTCTCAAAACTTACCTTCTGGAGTTCATTTAGATATAAAATTATGTTATTCATTCATTGATTCAATAAATTCATTTACTGTGCATTGACTCTGCTCTGGGTTCTAGGGACCATGGTGAATAAAACAAGATGCTCCGTCTCATGCAGTGTGGCTTGCTTTTCCAAAGAGATGTGGCTACACATCAGGCTACCCCACCCTGATCGTCACTGCCCAACAGAAGAGATGGTGATGCACGTGCTATGGCACTTGCTCGAGGAGTCTGGCCTCCCCTCCATCCCTGGCCAACTTTCAGTCACTCGGTGGCATTCCTGACAGGGAGGTGTCTGTACCTGCTCTTGTGCCCTGTTTGAATACACTCGGTGATGGGGGCTCTTCCTCCTTCCCGAGGCCCCTGCCCTCTGTCCTTCTGTCCCCTTGCCGCTCATCCTTTGTATGAAGCTGATCTCTATCCTCCCTCAGCCTCTAGAAGGGGTCTGGGCCTGCCATCTGCCCCTCATCACATAATGTGAGTCAGGAGAGGTGGCATCCCAGCACCATTTCCTGGCCCCCCGAAGTTTCACTAGGGGGAAGGGGCTGGAAAGAATTTCATTTGTACTTCTGCCCAGCTGTCACCTGTAGGATGGGTGGGCCCTAGACCCAGGCTGTGCCCCTAACCACCACTGCTCGAAGCACAGTGTCCCCAGGATGCTGAGCAGTCCCCTGAGGTTTTGCTGTCCCACTGGACAGGCCCAGAGAGAAGATGAGGATGCAGGGCAGAGGGCACTATGCACACAAGCCAAAATGTCTGGACTCCCTGCTCTTGTCACCATTCCCACACTACAGGTCCCAGTGAATCCCCAGGGGAGAGATACAGGAGCTGTTCTTGAAAAGAATATGATTGGGGCGCCTGGGTGGCACAGTCGGTTAAGCGTCCGACTTCAGCCAGGTCACGATCTCGCGCTCCGTGAGTTCGAGCCCCGCGTCAGGCTCTGGACTGATGGCCCAGAGCCTGGAGCCTGTTTCCGATTCTGTGTCTCCCTCTCTCTGCCCCTCCCCCGTTCATGCTCTGTCTCTCTCTGTCCCAAAAATAAGTAAAAAACGTTGAAAAAAAAATTTAAAAAAAAAATAATAAAAAAAAAAAAGAAAAGAATATGATAATAAATCTCATTCAACCTCTTGTGTCAACACTCCAACTGAATGAGAGGCCGAAGAGCCAGGCTGGCCAGCCAGGAAGGTCAATATTGACCCAGGCCCGCCTCGGGGGCCAGCATCTCTGTTGCAGTCCAGCAGCGGCTCAAGCCAGAGCAGCCCTCTGACCTATGTTCAGTGTACTTAGAATCCACAGCACTGGGCTTTCCTGGGCATGGGGTTATGTCCAAGGGAAGAGTGAAGAATGGCCTTCCGGGGAGGGCTGCAGGCCAGGCATCTCTATCACTATTCCAGCTTCTCAGCAGCCTCCACATACAGGGGCCTGAGCCCTCATCACAGAGTCCTTGGGGCCTAGCCAGAAGAACCTCTAGAGTCCCCTAGTCACAGGATTAAGGCCCCTAATCACACAAAAAGACTTCTGTTTTACAGCCCTTAACTTTCTATGTCTCTGTCTTGTTCTCTTCATTTTACACTCACATTACTGTGAGATGGCTCACACCTGCTTTACTGGGTGCATCTTAAAGATGGAAGGTGGCTGGGAGAGGAAGGCGGAAAGCTTTCTGGAATATACTACACACGTGCAGGTGTAAAGTGCCTAGCATGTGTCAGACCCTGTTCTAGGTGCTTTTTATTAGTGCATTTAATGGTCATGACACTACAGGGTAGATATCAGGAGCTTTGTTTTACAGGTGAAGAAACTGAGGCTCAGAGAGTAAGACTGTCCGAGATGGTAAGTGGTAAGCTGGTATTCAAACCCCATGTCTCTGACTCCAAGCTCTTCTAACATGCCTGGTGCCCAGAAAAGTCAAATGGCCTGCCCCAGATCACACAGCCACTGAGGGCAGAGGCCCCCCTCTGTCCTAGGCAGCCCTGTGGCAACAGTGTGTCCAGGGGCACCCATGGACATGTGAGTACCTGTGACATGTACAGAACATACTGCTATCTCTGTCTCCAAAGCTGGACCCTCTTCCAGAAATGGGCCCTTCCCTAGGCCACCTCACTACCTGCCCTGTATGGACCATCTACTTTTACTTTACTCTCATGGCTTGCTCTAACCCCTTCACAAGCTCCTGACACAGAACCAGACCGTTCTCAAAGTTCTCCAAGAGGGGAGGATTCAGGTAGTTTAACATTTCCAAAGTAATACTGGAGGCTGGGAGGTGGCTCACTGCTGGGGGTGGTCTACATTTATTCTTTATCACTGTGACTTCTCACAACTGTCTTATGAGGAAGGCACGACTGCTCTGTTTCATATAACGTTTAGAGAGAAGTAAAACAACTTGCTTAGGGAATAAAAGGCCAAGCCAGGATTCGAACCCAGCTCTTTCTGGTTCCAAATGTGTACTCAGCTACTGTCCTATGTATGGCCTGAGGAGAACTTGCGGTATGATAGTATATGCTGCTCAGTTCCAAAAGATCCGAGGGCAGACATAGACCTGACCTCCCTCTCTTCCCCCACCTAGAAAAACAAGTCAGGGGAGCCAAAAACACACCAGAATAGGGCAAGACACAGAAAACACAGCCCACACCCCGGAAGCTCTTTATGTCTTAGCCCTTGGTGTTCCTAGCAGCGTCTACATCCCAGATAGGGTGCCACTCACCCATTGTGAGAGAAGCTGGATGGATTTTAGCAGGTTGGAGATCTGGGGAATGAGCTAACGGCTGGGATTGGCCAAAAAGGACCTCTGCCTGGAGCTGCCTCCTGGCCTGCTCAGCACAGACACGGGGCCTGCTACTGCCCTTCCTGTTTGGGAGCCTCTTTCCCAAGCATAAATTCAGCACACCAGCCTTGCTGACACTGACTTGCCCCAGACAGGCATCACACCCGGTGACAGCAGAGGCTGGGTCAGGGGCAGGTGGGGCATGTGGGCTGGGCTGGTGTAAGTAGCAATGCACATTCATTAAGGACTGAGAAATGGCACCTAGAAAGGGCCACTGCCCCTGCCTGACAGTACCAAGAATGGGCCATCCCAGGGGGGGCACCTGCCTGCCCACTGACCTTTCCAGCCTGTCTCTCAAGGAGGTCTTGAGAAGGCTGCTGGACACCCTACCAGGGCTGAAGGTTCCTCACTCACCTCCTGGCTGCCTTCCTCCCCTGCTCTTCCTCCTGACTCCTCACCCTTCAGTGGGCAGAGCTCTCAGGCACCGAGGAGAGGGAAGACTGAGGACCCTCCCTGGCCCGCAGTCCGAGGCCTGGGTGGAAACAGATCAGAAATTCATCGTGAAATATGTAGTACATGTCTCCACGGATGTTGCGACTGGCCAGAATTCGGAACCGCCCCAGGCCTGCCTCCCGACCGAGCCACCATCTCAGGTACAAGGGGGAGGTGGCGGGCTCCCCACGCAGAGCACGGGGAGGAGGGGCAGTGGGCGCAGCACCGCTTCAGGCCCCTGTCCCCACCGCGCTCCGAGCCGGCGCGGTCACCGGCCCCACCTCCTGGGCGGGAGTGGGGTGCCCTCCGGGACGCGAATCCCCCAGCCCCGCGCCTCAGCAGCCGCGGCAGCCAGGCCGGAAGCGCCGGCGCACACGCGGAGGTCGGTCGCGCTCCCAGCTGCGCCAGCTCTCGGTCCTGGAGCTCAGGGCCCCTCCGCGCGGCGCCCTCCCCACGGCCGCTCCTGCGCGCACAGGGCGCCGGCCAGCCCTGAACTTTGGGGAATGAAAGCGCGGGGAAAGGGGGCCGTGCGGGCTGGGAGACCGGTCCGCGCGTCCCGGCCCCAGCCCGGGGAGGGGTCGCCAGCCTCGCGGGGTGGCCGGGGCACCCACCTGCCGAGCGGGAAGTCCCTGGAGAGCTCGAAGCGGCCGCGGGAGCCGGGCCCGCCCTCCGCGGGAGGGACCTCGGCGCCTAGAACGACGAAGACAGGCCGCACTTACTTGTTTGTGCAGCGCCGGCTTCACCTGGCCGCGAGTTTGATTTCAGGGTGTGGCCTCAGGTAGGACAAGGCGAACACAAAGCCCGGGAAAAGTCGGCAAGGGGTGCGGGGGCCGCGGCCAGGAGCCTCTGTCTGCCCGAGGGGGGGTCCCCCTTCTCTAGCCTTTTCCGCTAAGTGCTCTGCCCCGGCTCCGGCCGGTACTTCGCCTCGGGGTCCTGATCTCGGTCGGGCCCGCTGCGACCTGCCGGTGGCCCCATGGCCCCCTGGACGGCCGCGCAGAGGCCTGACCTGGATTATCCGCTGAGCGCCTCGCTGTGCAATTAGCTCATTAATTTGCATTGCAGATGCACATCTGGAGGCTGCCTTGCCGACTCCTCCCGGATATTCAGAGGTGCAGGGGGCTGAGTGCACCCACCTACACACCCTGGGGAGCCTCAGCTGGAGGCCTAAAATCTGGCATTTTGGCCTGTCAGTCCCATCTGGACAAGGCCCTGAGACTATTTTCGGGTAGTTCTCTTGAGCAGGCAGGAAAGCCAGGATTTAAATAGATTCCAATTCCCTTGTCAGAACCTGCTCAGTTCTGAGAACCTGTGGCCTCAGGATTCCCCGGTAGGGGACCTCTGGGAAAAAGAGAGCTTCCAGGAGCCCTGCCCTCCCAGAGAATGGGCCTGGTTACAGAGCTGGCCTCCCCTGGCTGTCCGCAGCAGTCCCCAGCAGTTCCCTGGCCTAGGAGCATGATGGCCATTGGGAATGGCTCACTCCTGCTTGCCCTTTACCCTGCTTCTTTTAAATTAGAGGGTATGTTTGTTGTGGGTGAGGGGCAGAGGCCGTGTGCCTGTCACTTCCCTACGCAAGGGACTTGCTCTTCTAGACTTGGGCCCCCAGAGAGGGCTGTATCTGACTGAATGCTGAGGGCATTCTGGCTTGGAAATTCGGTATACCTAGACCCTAAATGGCTGCCCCCAAGCAGTGGCTGGGTGACTACCAGTGTCACAGAGTGGGACTGAGGACAGTGCTGGGATTATTGTCATTGTTGGGTGCCTCCAACTTTTGTTATTAATCGAGGTCCTATTGCCATGTATCATTTTTGTTCACTGATTTCTTTAGATATATCAGTGCAATTTATAGATAAAGCATTTACACGTAGGCTCTATTGCTTATGCATGGTTTACTATAGCCTCCTGCCAAATCGAGCTAAGGTGGCTAGTGGGAATTTGCCAGCCCCAAACACCCGCACTCTGTCTGGCTACACTACAGCCCCCCCTCCCGGGGGTTGGGGGGAGGAAGCATAACGGTGGTGCCTGCGGAGATGCTGTCCCTGTGAGCCCTGGGTTAGTGGTGTAGAAGCTGGGCAGCTAATGGCTGGTACCCCCCCTGCCCTCCTCCATGCACTCTGCTCCTCTCCTTACCTTCTGTCTTCCCTCCTCCTCTCTGTGTCTTTCCCAAGTGGATTCTTTCTCTTTCCTCTGACAGGGTAACACTGAGGCCTGACCTCATGAGCCAACCCCTGATCTCCTGTGGCCCGCTCCCTCCAGGAAGCTGCCTGCTGAGCCTAGGCTGATGGGACCATGTGGCAGGGCAGGGGCAGCTGGTACACACGTATGGCTTTCCCCACAGATTAAGTACCTAGCGATGTAGGAGCACTGGCTGACTGCTGGCTACTGGAAGCAGGGTGTGCTGGGTGGGAGGGTTCGGGGAAGTGGTTGTGGGGGATTTGAAATGAACGGTGAACCAAGCTAGAATGAACTGTGCTGCGTTGTTGAACCTAGAGTCAACACCCTTAAAGATTTTTTCCTGACTCACAAATGTGCGCGTGAATTATTTTCTTTTAATGCAAATAACTTCTATACCCAAACCAGAGCCCCAAGCAGTTTGAACTGTTGAGCTACAATAAAGTGTGGGCATTAGAATATTATCGGAATTGAACTGGTATTTGATTTGGTTTGAATCCAAGCGTGGGTGTCGCAGAAAGGCTACTAGGCGAGTCCCATCCTCACCCTTTAGGAGTGAGTCTAGGGAACCCTGGCGTCCTTTGGGAGCAGAGATGGGGTTTGGAGCTGGAGGAGGGTGGAGACTCCCAAATATAACTGACATAGGAGGCAATGCATGCCCCATCACTGTAGGTATGCAAGAACCGAGATAACTATCCTTCAGATATGCTAGAGAAAAGGTTCCCATCCTGGATACTAGACAAGACCTCTTGGACCCATCCCAACCCCAAGTTTCTGCACTTCGAGTCGCATCTACAGGTGGGTCTGCTGCACTGGGTTCAATGACCATTTGCAAATTGGGACAACTGGTATGTGCAGAATGGATCCTGAGTGGTCAATTCTGGTATGTGAGTACCCCCACCCCCACCCCATCCTCTTCTGATCCACGCCTGACTCAGCCTCGCCCAGGCAGTGGCAGGAACACTCTGGGGGACAGTGTCTCCTCCAGCGTCCATGTGCCTCCCTCTGGCCCTGTTCCCAGGTTGCAGTGCTGAGCACAGAGAAGAGGACCAGGCACACCCTTATTTGAAGAGCCCTGGTGGCTGACATAGGCCTTCTGCTTGTCCATGCACTGCCATTCTACAAATGGGGCAGGAGCTCTGGCCAGGGGCACTGAAAGCTGACATTTCACCCTGGGCGATGCTGCTGGAGCCTCGCCAGCTCTGGGGCATTGGCCAAGCAGTACTGTCTGAGAGGGCATCGGGGCAGGCACACTGGGCTGGGCGAGTGCTTCCCAGCTAGCTAGCTCTCAGCCTGTGGGGCCTGTTGTAACATCCGAGCACCTACTGCCAGGGCTGAGAGCCCAGGTTAGGGCCAGAGAGGAAAGATACGGATCTACTTGTGGTTTAGAAACAAAAACACATTATCCTTCCCCTGCACCTTTCTGTTCTGTGACTCGAGAAGCTTCCTGGGGATCAAGAATTGCTGACAAGCTCACTTATTCCTTCCAGGGCTCGTTTCTCTAGGTGAATCTGCCCTCCTCTAATAATAGAAATAAAATGCCTGCCAATTAGTGAATGCTTCCATTGGGCTAGCCCCATGCTAAGCCATTCCCACATACTATCTCACTCAAGTCTTTACAACCGCCCAGCACAGAAGTACTATACTATTATATTCTCAGTTTACACACAAGGAAACAGGCTCCGGGTGGTGAAGGAACTTGCTCAAGGTCTTGTAGTGACTGAGCTTAGAACCAAAATTTCAACCCAAGTACATCTGCCCCTAGCCCATTCTCTTATCTGCGCTGCCCAGAGGTCCCTAGTTCCAAGGACTGTCTGATGTGACTTGACTATGTGAGGTCAAGTGTCAGTGAACAGTTGGTGGGGGAACGTTTGCCTCCTTGTGCCAACCCTGACCACCACCCAGCAAGCGCCAGTCATGTGACACAGAGCATATGTGGGGAATATCCCTGCACCATTTCTGATCAGAGCATGAGGATCCCCACGTGGCACTGGGCGTGTGGGGCAGAGGGGGCTTCTGCACTCACCCTGAGTCCTCAGCCCTAGGATAGAGGCACACTTGGGAAAAGACCCCTTCCTCTCCTTCTCTTCCAGGGTGCTCAACCCCTGTCCCTTCCTGCTTGTGGGATGGCCTGGGCCAGTGCCCCTCACCTGATGGGACTGCCCACGTGTTTCTGCTGATGGGGCCAGGAGGCAGGTGCAAATGCCCTAGGGAGGGTCTGGGAGCGTGAATGGAGGGAGCTGACATTGCCGAGCCCTTGGGGCTGCTAGGCTGGAGAGGGAGACGGCCCCTCCGAAGGGACCATGGGTTCTTGCAGGATTGGAGTCCTCTGCCTCTCTAGGCTTCCAGCATGCCTCAGTCTCGGTTTCTTGATGTGTAGAACAGGGGAGACAGTGTCCGTCTGTCTTGGGAAGGTGATGGAATGATGAGGTCCAGAGCATTGGGGAACCAGAGTCCCGAGGACCTGCATCCCCCGGTCAGGGCGAGAGGTTGTTGACCCACAGCCCTCATAGCTGCTAAAGGGAGCAAGGTGGACACTTCCCTCCCCTGTTCCATGTATGTACCCAGCTGCCACAGGGAGCACGAGAGCCCAGTTTTGGTGCCAAAGGGGCTGAATCCCAGGGATCCTCCAGGAGAACTTGCCACTACATCAACCTAATAGGTCTATCTACTACGTATCCAAGAGAGAAAACCCTAGCCCTAGGTGGCAGCACTGTCTGGGCCCAATTAGGTGTTTGGGAAGAGTCTATCTGTCCAGCTGCTGGGCAGATGTGTCCTTGTGCCATCCTGAACCTTAGCAGAGGGAAACCACCACAGCCAGAGGCCTCCAGCCTCTCTCTGCCTGCCTTTCTCTCAGATTCTGCATCTGTACTAGGTTTCCTATGCCAATGGGAGTACATAGGCCTGTCCACCCCAAACGCAAACTGACACTGGTGGCTGAACTTGCCTGGCAGTGCCCAAGGGGCCTGGTCATGTGAGCAAGCCACCAGATGCAGAGGCCACTGTCCACCCACCTCAAGGGGCTCAAGCAGGGACACAGCAGGCTGTGGCTGCCTTGCCAGTTACATGGGGGCATGAGCTACTCTGGGCAGGGCTGGAAACAGAAAGAGCCACCTAGATGCCAAGGACACTCACTTTAGAGACATGATGAATTCATTTAATATCTTCTCACTATGATCACTTTGCAGCCCTTGCTCCTAATGGACTCCAAAGTTCCATCCAAATGTCTGTTGCTGGCAGTTCAGCTCTCCGGCTGGCATTTTTGCTGCCAGAACTAACAGCTGGAAGCTGCTTGAATGGAAACGCTTCATTGTCTTTCCTCTCTCCGCTCAGCCTGTAGCAGTCATCCCTGGTCTGAGGCTGGGGCATGGCCATGACCGGCACCCATGTCCTAGATCCCAGGGCCCAACTTTCAGGAAGGCGGGGGGGGGGGGGGGGGGGAAGCAGAAGGCTTGTGCCTGACTGGGTAAGAGCATAGGCCAGAGCCCCACGAAGGGAAGAGTCTGAGGAAACATGATGTTGGTTGCTCAAGCCCCATCCACAACCCTCTGGGTGCAACACCTTCGCTCTAAGTGCACAAAGGCCGCACATTCTGGGCTGTGTGACCTCTTGGCAGCACTGGCCATCCAGCTGCAGTGCTCTTAGAACGCTGCCTTCTGCATCCGCCCTGGGTCAGGGTTAGAAGGCGTGGCCTATCTAACTGCCGCTTGACTGGGCTGGACTGTGTTTAGAGGGGCCTGGAGGAGCCCAGGCGGCTACTGCCATCCCTTCTCAGGGTCTTTCCTTCCTTAATCTCTGCCCACACCTTGATTACCACAGGGATGGTGGCCCATGGGAACTTTATGTGAACACTTACATGGCGGGGTCCTGGTGTGCACTGGCATGTCCTCACTAGTGGCTGCCATAACGGCCTTTGCCGGGATGATGGACTGTGTGGGGGCAGCTCCGCCTGTCTGCCCATCCTTTCCTCCACAGGAGCTCTGCACGCATGCTCGCTCCTGGCCTTGCATTCTTGCCCCCAGTCCTGGCTTTGTCCCTCTCCAGGGTATGAGACCCCAACTTTCTCCACTTTTCTGGATCCCAGACACACCACCTTCCAGCAAGACCCACTATAGTGGAAAAGAGAAGTCCAGCTGTGGCCTGGTAACAGGGTGACAGATGACAGGCAACAGGCCTCTTGCTTCTGGGATCTGACCTGTGATGGTGGCCACTGGACATTTAATTTCCTGCCTGTGGTCATAGGATATGCTGGTGAAAAGTAAGTAAGTACCGGAAGTAAAGGGTCTCCTGCGTTTTCCTGACTTCTGCCCCAGAATCTCTCATTCCTAGACACATTCATCATTCCTCTCTTCCTTGGCTTAAGACACTGCCAGCCTTATGGTTCAAATGTAAAATGCTTCCTGGGACAAGGAGAACTTGAGTCAATCCATTTATGAATTAGCTGGATCCGTTTATCGTAGAGTGTCCAGGAGGGGAGGCTGCGGGGGAGGGGCAAAGCCTCTCCTTGGGGGGCGCTGATGAGTGAGCATGGGCTGAGCTGGGGCTGCCTGTTGAATGAGCTGCAGGAGCAGGGCAGCCCAGGTGGTGTGTGTGTGTGTGTGTGTGTGTGTGTGTGTTTGTGTGTGTGGCAGAGCAGTCCCCTGTTAGGGCAGGAGGCACACAGGAGCATCAGGACCCCTCTGGCCTCCTAGTGTTTTGGGCCAGGCTGTCTCCTCAAGCCTCTGCAGCTTTTGTCTGCCCTTGCCTGCAGGGTCACCTTTGATGTTACTGCAGATAGAAAGGTAGTCTGGGCAGTGAGAGAGTCCTGGACTGGGAAGTGGGGACCCTCAAAGCCTGAAACCAAGGCTCTGCCATCAGTTAGCTATGTAATCTCGGGACCCACTTTCCTTCTCTGGGCCTCTGCCTTCCTCTATAATATTATGGGTCTTGATCAGACATTCTTAGGGACTCCTTTTGGCTTGAATGTGCTCTAGCAATCTAATGTGCTCTAGCATCTCCTTTTGGGAGCAGTCCTTTCCTCCTCTGCACCCCACCCCCCTGACCCCACACTGCACTCTGGAAGCACATGAGGCTGTGGAATAAATGGCCCCCTGGCTCCCTCCACCCTCTGTGCCTTCCTGTGCAATTCCTCATTTGAAGCTAAAAGAAAGAAAATGGAGGCCGAAGGCTCCAGGCCAGGAAGCTGAACCAGAGAACCAGTCCTCCCAGTTCTAACTCTGCTGCTGCTGCAGCCTTCCGGAGCTAGGACATGCACGCAGACAGCAGGAGGCCTTGAGTAAAGGTGACCGGCTGGTAGCTATTTGCCCTGAGGTGGAGCGGGCTGGGTCCCTGCTGCACTGGTACCAGAGATCAGAACAACTCACTAGCTGACCAGACCTTTCTGGACCTGCTTCTCTGAGCACCCAGAGGCCCCCCTCTCCACATCCTGAGCAGCCTGAGTGTGCAAGAGAACACACATCAGGCT